TGACTTGAAATTTGAAAAACGCTTTGTAGGGATAAATGTGCATGTTTTGGGGTGATCTGAATATTTCTATTTGCACCAGTGGCGTTCGTGCGAAAATGCCAAAATCATTTTTTAATAAGAAAATGGTATGCCACTGATTTTTTTCCGTGTTGATATTTTTTTTAGAAATCCACCATCAATTCTGAATTTCGTAGGATGTACCGTTTTTGAGGAAAAAATAAAACATTTTATTGCAAGCTGTGTATTTTTAATTTCTATTGATGTCTAGTAGGTTACTGTCAATATTTCTAAATAAAATAGAACCACCAAATTTCGAGTCAATATCTGTAAAACTCTTTGAAATAAATAATAGAAATAAATAAAAAAATTAAAATTTAAACACTCTGTATGTCGGAAACGAAGCATATCTCGACCTACGTTTATGTGAACTTTTTTTCACAAAATAACTTCGGCCACCACCCCCTAAAATATTTTGCACTTATTTACAAACACCCTGTATAAACAAAGTTTAATTGTGAATAACTTTTCTAAATAGGAATTTTTGATGTATTATACGAAAAATAGACTTACATAGAACAAAATTTTATCTTAAACATTTTTCGTCAGTCTCACCTACGGGCAAGACGATATGTGGACATCCTGTACATATTAAATGTCCGAAAGGGATTAATTTTTTATGTGTTTCTTAACTGATACAGTGGTTTACTGAGTTTTGAATTTAAAATTAGCTGTAATCGATTTTTCTAATAATTTCTTTGCAATTGACAAGCTGTATCCGTTATCCAACTTAAAATACAACTTTTTTACATCCGAATAAGGCAGAATTTTTAAATAAAAATGACTTTTTTCCTTACAATGCGAAATATAAAAGTTGTTCCTCTTTTCGCGTTAAGAAAGTTCAAGGTCGCAGGTCCATAAAATTTATCCCCAGTTGTTAAAACGAACATAAAATACAAAGTCGTTCCCTTTTATGTTTTTTACTTTTACGAGCCAGCCAAATGCTTTATTTACTCAATATTAAGTAATTTTTTTACATCTTTCCAATAATAACAGAACAGGCTTCACAAATTAGATTTTTTTTGAGAAGTTCGCCATAAAAACTACTTTCTTTCTTCTGCTTAGATTTTTCAAGCTTTGTATTAATCTTACACTTTGGAACGAAAAATAAAAATAAATCTAGTTAGATAACTCCCAGAAAAAAATTAGACACTGTATAATGGCTTGGCTGCCTGAAATTCAACACACAAAGAAATAGTCCACACAAAAAAATGTAAATTTGGGTACCTCTGACACATTTAAAAATTATTTTTACAACTACTTTTAAAACCTAGCCCCTTGAAAAGAAGTATCTCACCGCCTGCGTTCGTATATTCTTATTCTATTATTTTTAATCGTAAATGTTGTAGGCTAGGTTCGTGGCACCTTGTAGAAATTTTTCTATAAATCCTAACAGTATCACTCTGTAATGTTTCTAGTAGGCGAATTGTTTTCTATCGGTCAGCAAAATCACGTAACAGCAAAAACAAAACTAAATCTCCTACCCCGCGTCACGGCAAGCGGAGAAACTTTTGCCAGGGCCGGCCTAAGAGATAATCATGGCTGCCTATGACGACAGAATAGAGACAAGTAAAAAACGCGTTTGTCGTTTGATAAAAGGCGATGGAAGCTTCGTTGACTTTGCGTTATTTTATTTACTATGTGGCTATATTATCCTATATTGACAAATAATGTTTCCTACAAACAATATAGTTATTTATGATACAAGTGCCATTTTATTTCGTGAGTGGGGAATATTGTAACTCCACGAACAAAATAAATATTTCATCAGATGTTCAAGAAGCCGCAAATAATATATGGCGACTTGCCATATATTATTGCCCCAGAAACCGCGGCAACAATATCATATAGCATATTAAAAAAGACTTATATTGAATAGTGGAAAATGAAGAAAGTAGCAAAGAAGTTGACTAAAAGTATGCTTTTGGCTTACTTCGAAGAAAAATGTAAGTTATGAAAGGCGTCAACACTGTGGTCTAATTTCCCTATGATAAAAGCTAGTTTGCAAATTGCTAGTTTGCTAGTAGCGTTTTTAAAACGAAAAAGTGTAGGATATCGGTCAAAAAAATTGAAAATATTTCAAGGGCAACGGTGAACGACGAACAAAAAACAACAAAAATAGTTATTTTTGTATTTAGAATGCGAAATGGAACTTTGGCGTTCATGGAAGTTATTTTGTCGAGCTTAGCCAGGCAAAATATCCACTCGAGAACGCAAAAGCAAGTGTCTGTGGAGCTTTGAGAAGAGATGAGTTGCTAAAGATCGATGATATAGAAGAGAAAGATTCAATTATTATTACAGAAGAGAATTTAAACTCGCACAGTAATGAGGACATTTACTCTGATTTACTCTGAAAGCACTCAGTTTTAGTTTAAATAGAATCACAAATGATAGTACAGTCATTGAAGCTGAAAATCTGCTGTAATCACCGAATTCTTTGAAACTGCATGGATTTGCATGAAAATTTAGAATAAGGCTCATGTTTTTTAGGAGTAAAAATTACCCCTAAGTGAAAAAAATTGAAAAAATTAAGTTTTAAACATTTTATTAAAAAAAACTTGTTTAAGCACAAAGATTAAATAATGTTCCATGTTTTATGATATATTTGATCTTTTCGACCCTTTATTTAACCCTTAAAAACTACCCCTACGCAAAAAATAATAATAAAAAATTACTTTCTAATGATTTGGAATGATTAAATCGTGCAACTATTTAAAATAAAAGTTACCTTATAGATAATAAAAGAATTTTTCCCTTTCAACCCCTAAAAACCACCCCTGTATTGACAAAAATGATAAAACATTACTTTTTAAAAGCTTGGAATGCTTTAACGGTACAATTATTTAAAATAAAAATTCCCTCATTGCTTATTTGTATCTTATAACACTTTTCAACCCTTATAAATCACGCCTGTGCTAAAAAAATGATAAAAAATTACGTTTTAAGTCTTGGAATGCTATAATTGTGCAATAATTTGAAATAAAAATTCCCTTATATTTTTTATGAAAGAATATTTTACTTTTGCCATATTTAACTCTTATAAACTACTCTTTCACCAATATTAATGTAAAATATTTTTATTAGGTATAATCGATTTTTAAATATAATCAAATAAAAGAGCCTATTTTGCTCCGAAAAAATGTTATTGGTTTTTTTACCATAACTCGGTTAATTTTGAAGCTATAGTATCCTACAAAAGATAATTTCTAGAGCTGTAAGATCGTTTGCATATAAAAACTTTTAAATCCTTCGTTTTTTAAAGGGAAGGGATCGAAGGGCTCGAGACAGGTCGTTTTTTCACTAAAATGGATACTTCAAGCGGCGATATCTCCTTTATTTTTTATGCTATAGAAATAAAAAAAGCAAAATATTTGTTGAAAAAAAGCTACATTTTTGTTATCTAATCATTTTTTACGTATCTTTCATAGTTTCAGAGTTATTATATAAATAAGGCAATTTTTTTTTGGAATCATGAAAAATACGTTTTCAATTTTTACCGTACATTATTCAAAAAATACGAATTCTAAACCGGTCTAACTTCAGGATCGTATGAAAAATACTAAAACAAAACTAATTGTAAAGGGTCTACGATTAATTTTAAATCTGATGGAAATGGTACAGCGTTTACTACTCATTTTTCTTTAAAAAATATGAGCAATCCATCTGTTCTTGACGATAACTCCTTCAATTTTACTCTAATTAACTTTTATAAGTGCTCATTTTGAAGGCCTTTTGAGTAGTACAAGAAACTCCAGAATCGTTATACACGTAAAATTAATCATTTTTTCGTTATTTGACGTTGAATACATCGATTCGAGTATTCTCCCAAAACAAGTCCCATTACACTAACCATATTTCACTTTGTATAGGGCGTACAACACTTTTTAGAAAACGACTTTCTTTGTTTATTTATAAGCTACATTTTTGTTCACTACACTTTTTTAAATAAAATGAGTGGTTTTTGAGTTATTCGCGTAAAATACTTTGAAAGAGCGTTTTTTTTCATTCAAAATTCCAAATTCTCAATCGTGAATAACTAAAAAATTACTAATTTCTCGAAAAAATTCTTGGAAAACTTTTTGCTCAAGATTTGATTCTCTATCGATTTTTGAAAAAAAAATTCCACCCCCGAGAACGACGGAAGCGCCAATCGGCGCTATGTCACTAATATTCATTGACCTTTTTTCTAACTATCTGCCAAATTTCAAGTTGATCGGTTCAGTTTTAAAGAATTCGAAGGGAGAAATGCTTCAACGACTGTACTATGAGTAAATTGATTAAAATGCACAATATTGAGTGAAAATCTACTCAATAATTTCACTCTGAAGTTATATTGCTTTCTCTCACACCGATTTTTTTACAGTGTAGGTTCAATTATTAACTTTGTCTTTAACCTTTCCCTTCATATTTAAAAAATTTATGGCAAAAGACACTTATTTCTGTTTAAAACGTCACTTATTTGAAGTAATAAGAAAATATTTGCTGCATTCCTGGGATAACAACCTAACAACTCTGACAAAAACTGAACCATTCTGGCACCGGGGTATAGCGCCAAATAAAAAAGTAACCTGTTGCCTTCGCAGGGCTCCAAAAAGTCCGGGGCCGGCCCTGCCCCCCCGCCAACTATTTCAAAACGCAGAACAGTCGATGGCCGCCTCTAATTTCTCGGTGGCTAGATGCAGTTTCACCGAAAGCGAGAGTGTCCGAGCTAAATAACAATCGAATAATGCCAGCAAAAAGCGAAGCAAGCGGACCAAGACACCTCGAGGAATTGGCCGGCCATCGTTACAAAACAAACGCCAGTTGCAACAGCCAACCTTGCGTCCAAGGAGGCAGCAAAAAAATTCGTTTGCCTACGACCAGGACGGAATCTATACCGCGTCGCCAGTGCGTTATCAGTGCCGCCAAACGTTTACTGCTTGATAAAGACTTATCTCTGCCGTATAAAGCCAGCCGAGGGGACGGCAGGATCCAGTTGCGGAAAAGCGAAAAGGGCCGGAAACCAAGATGAAGGTCCTAGTGACGGTCGTATGCGGATTGCTAGTGCTGACAGCAGAGAGTAAGTGCTACCCCAATTGCTTGTTTAAGGTGACGTCGCGAGTCGAACGCCCTGTGCGAGGTCTCTTCCGCTCGATTTCAAATTCCAAAACAGCTGGTAGAAGTTGTCGTTTAAATAGTGTGAATTGTTCTGCGGTACAATAACAAACAAGGACTGGTTGCGTGGTGTTTGGTGTCATTCTTGAAAATATATTTTTTTCTAACAGCATAAATTAAGTACAATACTTTAAAATTGCTGCGGCACTATATAGGATGTTTTTTTTTTGGAACTGAGCGTTTTACTTTCTCTGTTACGCTCGGGAGAGAATGGAACTATACAGGGTGAGTTATAATTAGATGTAAAAGGACACTGTAGACTGAAAACAAAGCAATTGTTCAATTAAAAATATAAGAAATAAAAAACCTCGAGCATACTCAATTCTGAAACCGGAGCTTAATAAATATTGAAACAAAATTCAATTCAAAGATCTTGGAAGTAATTTTTTATACTGAGGCATTTTGGTGCTGAGGTAAATGCGATTAATTGTTTTGTTTTAGCCAGAATAACCTGCAGTTAATTTTTTTACATCTAATTATAACTCACTGGTCTTTTAAGGGAATATTTTTTCGTGCATTTACGTTTACTTCTCAAGATACAATGCATTATTTTTAGCAATGTATCAACCAAATATCTCGGAAAATGTTTGGCATAAATATAACTTGCATTGGCGATTTAACGAAATATAGGTTAAAATTTACTTAATCTGAATACAATGATATCTATCAGTGGCAGGGATATTAAAAAAAAGTTGTTTTTATTTCATTACACAACGAATTGCAATTAACTTTAAATTGTTCATATCCTAAAAAATTTTTAGGATTTTTTATTGCGGATACAGTATTTTAAATAAAATGTAAGTAATCTAAAGACTCATTGGTATAGAAATTTTGAAAATTAAGTTGCAACAACAAAATCCTATAATTTTCATTATTAGTCCAGAAAAATAAGAAAAAAGTGAATGAAATTTTTCTCTCCGAGATTTTTTTTATAGAAAAGTATAGGTTTTGAGGATAGAAAACATAGCAACCACCAGCAGCATACGTATAGCGTTTTGAGATATAGATATGTATATATAATTTTTCGCGTTTTTTTGACAAAGAACTGCCAATATTTCAATGAAAATGCATTTTTTCAAAAAAAGTTTCAAATAAAAGTTGTTCAAAATAAAATTTCCTACGACATTTTCCCTTATATTTTTTAAATGAAGTACAGATTATGTGAAAATTAATGTTTTTAAATATGATGACAATAGGAAAGGAATTTTCTAGAGCTGCAAAGGTAAAAAAATACACCAATATATTTTTTTAATTTATTTATAATTAAAAAACAACTTTTTTATTTATTATTTTTAACAATATTTTATGGACATATCTAAGTTTCTTATGTAAAACAGCTTCATCGCTGTTGCAAAAAAAATTCGAAGAAAACAGATTTTCCTGGAAAATTTAAAAAAGCGCATAATTAATTCGTAATGCACACACACCCTCGAAAACCTTTAAAATGATACGTTTGATGCTCATAAATATTCAAACCTCAGAAAACTGTATAAGATTTTCCAAGAATTTTCCTCAATTTTCTTTTCTATATACAGGGTGTTTCAGAAAGACCTCCCGTAAATACAGGGGGTGATAGTACGACAAAAAATAAGAATTTTTTGTCTTATGAACTATATGTCTATCTCCTCTTGTTTTCGAGATACAGAGCGACAAATTAAAATTTTTTAAATAGAATTTTTGCGAAAATCTCCAAACGGTGAGAAATATTTTTATGAAATTTGCTATTCCGGGGTTTTTAAGGATGCCAAATACGCTGGTCTAATTATTTTTTGGATATTTCACAGAGGGCGCTAGTTATGCTCCATTCCTATTAAATTTTAAGCTCTAATTTTTTTAAAGTTAGGTTTTTTACCATTCGGGCTCCAATTTCTAATGTACCATTTTATTTTCTAAAAATAATGTACTCTTGTTAGAACTTCCTAATGTGGACGGTTTTCGAGAAAAAAGGTTTTTAATTAAACTCTTACAATATTAGGGTGTATAAAAAAATAAGTGACTTTTCTCAAAGTAGGCTTCTGTCAAGACTTATTGATGGATGTCTCATAAACAACGCATACATTCTTAGTACTATTTTAAACTCTAATTAACCTTATATCAAAATTTTAGTGACTGTAATTAGTCATTACAAACTACAGTCACTAAAAATCACAATGTAGTGTCCAATATTTTCGCACAAACCAAGCTACGACGTGATGAAACCTGTGAATGATATCGTAAATTCGTCGAGAAGTAACATTGCAAAATATTAGACGAATTTTATTGTACACCATCACCCTCTGCAGGGATTTTGAAATAACTCGAACAAAATTGTAGTTCACACAGTTTCTAGATGTAAATTTATTTGTTAAAATCAGGGCAAGTTGCATTATGTTTGAATAATTTACTAGCGTCAATTAGCATTAAGTTTTCTTTGTAAACATAGTTTTTAGGAAGTTATTAGGTGTTCTATGTTACAATTACGCACGTATTTTCCCTTTTTAGCCCACATTTAGACGTGAAATTAATTATAAAAATAATTTGACCATCGAACTACTTGCGATATTATTATTCTGCGATTAAGAAATGTCTAACAAAGTTAATTATCCAGTAATTATAAATGTATTTAGTAAATGAATTAACTAGCTTTTGCGTAATTTTGGGAAACAAATAATATATAATTAAGTACTGCCTAGACAATAAACTTGTTTGGTTCATCCTGTAGCTTTAAAGTTACAGTGAAACTTACCGACCACGGTGAATTCCTTTTTTTCCTAAGAAATATTTATTCCTACGACTGAGTCTGTCATAAATTAGAGACCATAGAAAATTCGTCGTATCCTATTCAGTTACACCGGTGACGAAACAGTTTGCAGCACTTCTTTCTATATTTGTTGTATATTTATTTATAAATAAACTGCGAACCGGGTCAATAGAATTTTTTACGGACTCAATGATTATTGACTAGCTAAAGAAATTATAAAACTTGCTGTTATTGATAAAGTGGCAGAATTGAAAGTCTAGAAAGAAAATTGTGTTTCATTAAAATGAGGAATATTTGTTGTTTTTGATAAAAAAATACCAATTTGCTTTGATACAAGTCATTACAAAGTGAATGTTTAAATTCATATGTTTTTTTAAATGCAGGAAACGTTTTTCATGGAAAAACAATTAAAATATTGGTTTATTCCAAAAATGTTCATGACAATGTTGCTACTATTAATCTAACGTGACTTTACTCAACCCTTTATAGCCAATAATTACTTCCATTTTTGCAATTACACCTTATATCTATTAATATTTTCAATAGAATGTTATTTCAGTAATAAATATCAAAAAAATACTTGAAACCAATTACAAATAATAAGCATTCTTCATTACTGAAGTATTTTATCGCGTGAGTTTATGTATCACCTTGTTTACAGTCTGTTTGATTATAAAGGCCCCGGTTATCCATTTTTGTACACTGCAAAGTATACCTACATATACAGGGTGTTTCCAGATTAAGTCGACAAACTTTAAGGAGATATTCCTCATAAAAAAATTTGAAAAAAAGCAAGTATTATTTTCCAGAGACGTTAAAGATTTAAAAAATTTATACTTGATTTATTTCTTATTTTTTATGAGGAATATATCCTTAAAGATTGTCGACTTAATCCTGAAACACCCTGTATATTTTTAAATAGAATGTTATTTTCTTTATACTAACGGACAAAATTGTTTTTTTCGTCACACTGGAGATGAGTGGTGACGTCATCGATATTTTTTTAAATGGAATTGTATAAATTATTTTGCGCGTTTTGATTGATTTTTTTATTTTTTTCCCAACCTTATAAAATTTGTATGCCTTTGCATAACGAAATTTTTGAAAAAAAAATTAGAAAACTTTCAGCCTTTGACTTTAGTTTACGGTGCTCGCTTTCTAAATCAATAGAAGGCGCTGGAAAAACAATTTTGCATACCGCTTATCTGTCACATATCGTTTGTTTGTAATTGTTGTCACCTTTTAATTTTAACTGATAAGAAAATGAATGATTTTAATCAAGAAGTTGAAATGCTGCAGGTTTATTATGAATGTAGACACACATAAATATTTGCAGACCGCTGGATTGTTACTAGAGGATCCATATATTGGCCGCCACGATCCCCAGATATTAATACACTGGATTTATTTTTCTAGGGTTTATCTAACACTACCAAACAACACTGATCAGTTGAAAGACACAATCAGGACCGCAATAAATAACTCGTAACTATGAATAAATGTAAAGTCGCTACACTGTTATATCTACAAACGTAATAAACTAATTCATTAAAATCATTCATCTTGTGACTTGTATCCTTGGCACTAAAAATATCTTTCTTATAGGCGTGGGGGAACAGTGCGTGACATGCAGTGGAGAAGAGTGCAACAGTGCCAATACTGTCCAGGACTGCAGCAGAGACGTGCCGGCTTTGCCCTTCGACCTCGGCTACGCCGAAGACCAAAACCAAGTCGATGTCAGCTATGGGTGCCTAAATTTGGTATACAGAACTAATAACCATGGTAAGCTGCTCCATATTTTAGAGTGTTGTAACATTTTACATATTATTTTTACTATTTTTCAAGTTGTCTTAGTTACTTGATGTTTGCTTCAGGTACATCCGAAACGCTGAGACAGTGTGTCATGTTACCACAGACAGGCAGCGTCTGTGAAGACATTTCTAATGTGGTCCAGGTCGAGAGTTGCAGTGTCCAATACAACAGTCTATTCCGCTCTGTAATTGGGGATGAAGAAGTTGTTGAGATGGCTGTAGATGATGTACCTAATTCGGTTTCTACCGAGACTCCTGAACCTTCGTCAATTTCTACCGACACAACTGAACCTCCAACAACTCCCACCGAGACCACCGAACCTCCAACAACTACCACCGAGACCACTGAGCCACCAACAACTCCCACCGAAACCACTGAACCACCGACAACTCCCACCGAGACTACCGAACCCCCAGCAACTCCCACCGAGACTACCGAACCTCCAACAACTCCCACCGAGACTACGGAACCTCCAACAACTCCCACCGAGACCTCCGAACCTCCAACGACTCCCACCGAGACCACCGAACCTCCAACGACTCCCACCGAGACCACTGAACCCCCAACAACTCCCGAGACTACTGAAAATTCATCACCTTCCACCGAGACCCCTGAAACTTCACCACCTTCTACCGAGACTACTGAACCTTCACCACCTTCCACCGAGACCCCTGAACCAACTACCACTGAGGATCCTGAAACAACAACCTCTGGAACTATTGAATCTTCACCAACTACTTCCGGAAGCTCTGAAATACCGCCATCTACGACTGAAATTGCTGATTCTACGTCTGAGAATCCTGCAACCACGACTAAAAGTCCTGTTACACCTGAACCAACTACAGAACCAACTACAGAATCTACTACAGAACCAACTACAGAACCAACTACAGAACAACCCACTACACCTGGTGGCAGCGTGACGCATTCGATTTCAATGTCGCTTCTATTATTAATACTTGCATTCGCACTGTTAAATTAAACTACTGCACTGTTCTAATCATCGTTGAGGTTTCATAGAACTAGGTGATTGTGACGAGAACCGAGAGCGAAATCTAGACCTCAAATATTTATTGAAATAAGAAAAACCATATGTTTTTTATATTTATTTTTTATAAAATCCTGGAACGTAGGTCTATATTTATTAACTTATTTCATCGTTAATTGTTTTAATAAAATCTATCTTGTTAATTTGACGCTTTTTTTGTGATGTTTGTAACTTTTCTTAAACACTATTTTCAAATTGTTTCAAATATTTTGTTTGGTTATTTACGTAGATTTCTATAGAATATTAGAAAAAACGCAATTTTTTCGAATGATCTGTAACATATTAACTCTTGCTGAATTTATTAGATTCGTTTATTTATTGCAATCCTAGATATAAATAAATTATTGCAAATACATTTATCTTCCCATGCGACATAAATATGCCAATGTATAACACAATTAAACAATTATTTTTACAAATTATTATAGGCTTATCAGGAACGTCTCATAAATCATGTTGCAAAGACAGCTGCACAGTCACAAATATAATTTAATTCTCTTTTAAAAAATTATCACATATACGATTACTATATTTTATTTTTCCTCACGATCTCGCTCGATATTAAGAATCGAATTAAAAACAACCTGTACGTCTGTGGTATTATCCTTGATGGTAAAATTGTCCTTGCATTTTTCTGCCTCCAGAAATTTTTTCGTTGCTTTAATAATATCCTTATTAATATCGCTGTCAACATTAGGTCCGTTGGGTTGGTACTCTAAAATCGTAGAAGCATTATAAGCAGGTGAGTCAGAAATTGAAGAAACGTTTACTTGTTTCTCACTTGTAGTACCGTTTGGTATTCTCTGTCCGACCAAACTACCCCAAATACCACCCCTTGATCCAGCGAAAGATGGTCTATTAGGTTGGTACTCTAAAATCGTAACAGATGTAGAATTGAGAACATTTGTCTCTTTATCGGTAGTGGTACTACCATCTGGTACCCTTTGCCCTACCAAATTTTCCCAAGTACCACCCGTTGATCCAGCGAAAGAAGGTCTGTTAGGTTTATAATCCAAAACTATAGAAGGACTAGAAGTTGTAGTAAAAATTGGAGAATCGTTTCCTCGTTTCTCAGTTGTGGTACCGTTTGGTACCTTTTGTCCAACCAAACTTTCCCAAGTACCGCCTGTTGATCCTGCGAAAGAAGGTCTATTGGGCTGGTACTCTAATACTGTAGAAGTAGAGTTGACAACAACCACTGACTGTTTCTCGGTAGTGGTACTGCTATCTGGTATCCTTTGTCCTACCAAACTTTCCCAAGTACCACCCGTTGATCCAGCGAAAGAAGGTCTGTTAGGTTTATAATCCAAAACTATAGAAGGACTAGAAGTTGTAAAAAAAATTGGAGAATCGTTTCCTTGTTTCTCAGTTGTGGTACCGTTTGGTACTTTTTGTCCAACCAAACTTTCCCAAGTACCACCCATTGATCCAACGAAAGAAGGTCTATTAGGTTTATATTCCAAAATTACGGAATTAGATGTTGACGAATGGGAAATAATTGCTTGTTTCTCAGTTGTGGTACTGTTTGGTACTCTCTGTCCCACCAAACTTTCCCAAGTACCACCCGTTGATCCAGCAAAGGAGGGTCTATTAGGTTTATAATCCAAAACGATAGAAGGACTAGAAGTTGTAGTAAAAATGGGAAAATCGTTTCCTTGTTTCTCAGTTGTGGTACCGTTTGGTACTCTTTGTCCAACCAAACTTTCCCAGGTGCCACCCGTTGATCCAGCGAAAGAAGGTCTGTTAGGTTTATAATCCAAATCTATAGAAGGACTAGAAGTTGTACTAGAAATTGGAGAATCGTTTCCTTGTTTCTCAGTTGTGGTACCGTTTGGTACTCTTTGTCCAACCAAACTTTCCCAAGTACCACCTGTTGATCCCGCGAAAGATGGTCTGTCAGGTTGATACTCTAAAACGATAGAAGGTCTAGAAGTTGTTGAGGAATTAGAGTTGAAAATAACATTCGTTGGCTTCTCAATAGCAGTACCATTTGGGTTTTTTTGCACAAGATAACCCTCCCAGGTACCTCCAATGGATCCAGCGAAAGATGGACGGTTTGGTTTGTATTCCAAGACAGTAGAAGGCTGAACACCACTGTCATCTTTATTAGTTTGGTTTAGTACTGCTTCTATAGTAGTGTTCTGGTACCTGAAATAATGTTTGCTTAGTTTCCGTTAACTGTGATGAAATAATGTTATTACTGTTTAATTCATTCTTACTCACCTCACAGTAGTATAAGATTGTTCTTCTTGGATGGTAGTACCAGAAGAACTAAAACCGTCCCCTTGTTTGGGAGGAAGTGACGTTGATTTGTCCACTTTTTCCGGCCAAGGCGTACCAGGTGGTACCCTCTGCCCAACGTAACTTTCCCAAGTACCACCTGTAGATCCCGCAAAGGAAGGTCTGTCGGGTTGGTATTCCAAAACAATAGGAGGCTGCGAGGAACTCGGCACCTTCGAAGAGTTCTCGATGTGAGCCTCTGTGGTGGTTCTAGAGGAATCTGTCACATTAACAGGTCCTGTAGTACCAGACGTAGCTGTTTCTGTACTAGAAATGGTGTACAATTTATCTTCTAAGGTCGGTTTGGGAGTGGTGGAGTAATCTTCGGCTTTGGCAGGCCATGGCGTACCAAGTGGTATGATTTGCCCTACGTAGTTTGACAAGGTACCTCCAGATATCCCCGCGTAGGACGGTCTGTTTGAGCTGGCTGGCAAGAAGACAAAGAATAATATGCAACTGTCTTTTCACACTGACAGAAGGATCTAATTTTCGATTTTTTGCATAAAATTAGAAATAATTTTTGATTATAGATTGTGAGATGTTACTACTGAATTAAAAAATCCTGAATTTCTGCAAGTGTCAGCGAGTAAAAAGGCCATCAGTTATTGATTATACATATAATATGATTGATATATTTTCAATTATTTGCAATACCTAAGTTTGTAA